AATTTCAACTTCATATCTCATCCTTCCGACTAACGTTTTTTTAACTGTGATATTTGTATTTTTATTGCAACTTTAAATCATTGCAACTTTATTTCGCACAATTCCGACTTTGTTTCTCAGAAGTGTGACTTTAATTGTGACTGTTGCTAGTAATTGTAACTTTATATCTCACATTTTCAACTTTATTTCTCATAATTGCAACTATTTCTCACAATTGTGTTTTTATCTCACAGTTACGACTCTCTCAAAATTGATTTCACATAGATGGAACTTTATTTCTCACAATTGCAACTTTGTATCTCAGAATTGTGACTATTTGTCTATGACTTTGCCTTTAATTGTGACTTCATCTTTCACATTTGCAACTTTATTTCTCTGAAACTTTATTTCTCACAATTGCGACTTTGTATTTCAAAACTGCGACTAATTTTCTTTTATTTGTGATGTTATCAAAAAAATCACTTTGCCCCATTACTCATTATTCCATTTTAACCTCCACTACATCCTTATTTTCATACTGAGGATTTTTTTTGTTCTTATTGCTTGTTTATTCTTATTCATACTGCATGTGTGTATTGTCTCTTACTGTATTATGCATTATTGCTGTTGTGTATTGTTTATTCTTACCGGTTTGTCCTTTATTGTGTATTCTTTATTTATTTTATTTATTTTCTTTGTAATTTAATGTTCCTATTGACTCTCTTTTTCCTTTTTCTTTCTTTTTTCCTTTTTTTAATTTATTGTCCTTTCTCACTGTCCTTATGGTGAGAAATGGACGAAATAAGTAATTGTACTAAAATGCATATGTTAATAAAGATCTTGAATCTTGTTATATGAATAACTTTGTTTCTCAAGACCATATCTTATTTCTTGTTTTTTTGCAACTTTAAATCACACAATTGTGGTTTTCAATCTCACAATTGCAAAATTGTTCTCACAATTGCAACTTTATTTCTACAATTGTGACATCTTTGCCTGTAATTCTCACTATATATCTTATATTTGCAACTTTTTTAATTCTACTAACTGTGACTCGCACAACTGCATCTTTCTACATTGGCAACCATTCAATTTGCAATTTCATATCTCAAATTGTGATTTACACATGTTTCTACATGTGAACAGTCCCAATAAACAAGGTCACTGCATTTACATATACTTATACACTAGAATCATGCAAAAAGTAGTGGATAATCAATAACATACATTGGGGGTTTTATCTAAACTGTCTCAACCTACATCCTCATATCTTCTCTGATTATTCTCTTGTAACATGATGGCTATACTGACTAATATAGAAAGGTCTTGATCACCACACAAACTGCATTTGCTTAATGTCAAAACGAAAACAAACAGAGAATTTTAAAAGGTCAGTTTGGCTTTCTGGCCTTGTGTACAAAGCTATCTTGATTAATACAAGACAAAGCGCTTTGCTAGAGAGCGTCCCCCCTTCAAATCAATTTCATATCAGTCATACAAAACTAGAAAGGCAGCTCATTAGGAGCATTTTGGAATCTGCGCACCTCCACCAAAGACAAATGTTGTTATTTCAGCTTGGCACTGCATTCAAGTTGTTGTTTAGGGTCCCTTAATACCCAATTTACTAACAGAAATAAGTGAATTAATCTTTCAGGGACTGCCTGCACAGATGCCTGCCATTTGCTTTTAACTGGGAAAAGTTTTAATAGAGAAATGAGACATCATAACAATTATAAAGAAATAAACGAATGCAAAAAGCAGCTTCCGCATTAAATTCACCTTACCAAGTAGCCTTAAACACAGCTGCATCAACCTTGTTTTGTAAGGACAAGCAAATTGGCTTGAACTAAGGTGACCAAGCGTTGCAACCTGAGGCAGCAGTCTAGTTTTCCCATAGGGTGTGCAACTGAAATGAAACCCACTCGTCTGGTTCAGTTCTTCAGTGTTTTCCTAGCATTGTATTGTCTAGGTCTTAATTGCTATGCTTTTTGCAAGTCCTTTGTTTCTATCTGTCAAATAAATCCATTTAGTTGATTATGGGTAACTACTTTTGTTCTAACCAATTGCTGCATCTAACAGACAGAAGTACGGCGTTATTGGGGTGACATCATATATCCAAAGAAGATATTAATAAATAACATTTTGTTGATTAACACAATTTTAATTGGCGTCTCGAGATGAATCTCAGTCAGAGGAGTCTCGCTCGCTGAGCAACATCCACAGTGACATGTTCACCTTCCACTAAGATAACTTTGCTCCCGATCAGGTCATTGAGCTGCCACTTTGACTCAGTGTGGCTGTTACAGAGAGAACAAAATCCGACAGCAAGCCGAGCCGATCGTGTACATGACGTGATTAAGGAAATCACACTAATCACGCCATCCATTGCCTGGACTAATTATAAATGATTCTGCCTTTTTTGCTGTGGTGAAACTGAAGCGAACAAGAAAAAGCCCCATCTAACTTTCATTCTCAGCAGCAGTCCCTTACATAAGCCAAATCAATCCAGTTACCTCTTCTTTTTAATCAGACCTGCATGCGAGAGCTCGTAGGGAGATGGATGTTTAGATCAAATGCTCCGGTGGTCTTGGCTAACAAAGAGAGAAAGAGATTTCAAAAACCTCTGCAGCTCAATTAACATTTGCTAAATTTATCTCAAACCTCCATCCATCTGTCAGAGGGAGAATCCACTATCTAAGCTACTTACTTTCTCTCCCACATGTAGCCACAGAGCTGGAAAGATTCATTACAAAAACCAAAAAGAACGATCTTGTTGATTAATCATTGTTTTGGCACCTTTGTGAGTCTTGGCTGCTTTCTAATTTTGGTCCATTAAATGAGTGACTATTCCAGGCTGTTAATCTTATTATTCCTGGCTACCTGAAGTCAGTCCGGGCGATAAACCTTTTCGCTTACTTGCTTGTCTGTAGCAAGTGTGTGCAATAAATCAGTATCAGTGAAATCAGTCATTCATAATTCCCACGGTCGAAAAATGGTTGACTATGAACTGCTTTAGGTGTTGCTGCAGAACAAACATGGATTTTATATTATAAGACCAACCATCCAATTATTTCTAAGATCCAATTTCTCCTTGACTCTATTGCTAACTCTCTGCAAGGCAATTAGCCAAGTAATTAAATTATGTAGTAATATTAAAGTGGTTGGGCGCTTCCAGGCTATATTAAAATCCATGCCTAATTCACCCAACATTGTGTGTGTTGCAAAAACTTTTTTCTTTTCTAAGAGTTTTATTTTCATATTTTGCCCCCCCCCCCCCCCCCCCCCCCAAAAAATAAATAAAAAATATGGTAACAATTTACTTAAAGCCTTTATGTTTAATACATTATAAAAGTATTTTTAATGCATGAATTATGCTGTGTAATGCACCTTATGATGCATTTGTATGATCTTGATTCTTGTAACCACAGTTAAAATACATGTATCCATTGCTACACCTTTAGAAAGTGTAATGCAATTAAAACACACAACAAACAACCAGTTTCAGACGTAACAAGGAATCTGCAGATATAATGCATTTTAACTTTGGTTGCAATTATTTATGAACAAATTATATAATGCATTGTAACGTTCATTATGCATACCTTTATAATGCATTATACATAAAGACTTTAAGTAAAGTGTTACCAAATATACTTATTCACCAATAAATATCACAATAAAGTATTTCGAAAAGGTTACACTTTCACTGCAACAATTACAACTCTACCGCAGATGACAGAACACTTTGGATTTGTTCATCCAATAGCCAACTTTAAGAGTTGAACAGACGCTGTGTTGACAGTCAAGGTTACAGCGTCATTGTTAAGGGCAGCTCAGCAGGGAATCCAGCAGCTAACTTTCAGCCTGTCTTAACACATGATTCATAAAGCTTCATTCTGAAAATAAACTGCCAGTGTGTTCAGATGTGGCATGTGATGCATTTGAACATCAGAAGTCCTATTGTAATGGGAAACGCTGGGAGTGTTCTATTGTAACATCTGTGTTCTATTTGGGGGGGGGGGGGGGGGGGGGGGGGGGGGGGGGGGGGGGGGGGAGAAATGGTAAGAAAGTAAAATTACACATCTGGTTTATTATGATTTGATTTTGTGATCATGTTATGGTATATGACAGAATTGATATCATCTGAATCATCATGCCTGACGGAGAAGGATGTAACACTTCTCAATGTACATCTACAGGATCCCCCAATGGTACATTTCACATTCATTTGGTTAACAAAAATAATTGTGAATAACACACTTTTGTTTTCAGAGTTGTTTGTCTATGTTTTATGTATGTATGTATTTTTTGTATTATTATTTATTGTAGATTATTCCAATGTTTACATTTAAAAAAAATAATAATTGAAATGGATTTACAGTAAAATTGGGTGATTGAGGGATGGCAATAAAAATATTTGTATTGATTAATACATTTATTTAAAAATATATGTATGTTTGATTACCACATAAAAGCCATTCATAAATGTAATGTTTTCTATTGGTGTTGGTAGTGGGTTGGTTGTAACCGCAGCACTTGTAATTGAAAACAATTTACAAAGTTTTAAAGATAAGCAGTACATTTATAAACAACTTTAATTTGAAGCAAATATGGAATATTACATTAAAGTTTTAGTTACAGACGTGTTGGAACAGTCCCCGGTTTCCTTTGAATTTCACCAGTCTGGTTAGACAAAACTGAAACGCTGTCGTACTTTTTGCACCGAAAAGCATATAATTGTCTTGTCTTTTAGGTTAAATGTCATCTGCACCAGAGCACCACCACTTAAATATCTATCACAGACTCGAATGATTGTTGGTCCTTGCCGACCGTGATAAACTGCAATGTAATATAATGACCACATGTAAAGCAAATAATCCAAGTTCTTCAGAAGAAATCATAACTACACCGGTCACATTTGTGGAGTAAATGCCACCGGACTTCACTAACGCACGCCAGCGTGCCAGATGCTTCCCGCTGCCCACCACTGCAAAAGAGCCAAGAAATCCTCTTTAACTTACGGGAGGATGAAGAAGCTGCTTCAGAGATGCTGAGGTGGCTTAAAATCCACAGCAAAAGCTTCAGTCCGGTCCCGGTGGGTGTCTGCATCTTCGAGTACAGTGAGGTCAGCTTTCCTTCTCGCGCGCGCTGTCCGGAAGAGCAGCTCCACAGAGCGAAGCCTCTAAATGAGCGAGACCCGCACTAACCGACGCTTCTCGGCTCTGATACTCAGTGTGGATATATTTCTGCGCAACAGTCCGGCTTTTTAACAACAAAAGACTACAGTAAAGCACTTTAACGCGGTATTTCAAGCCATGTCGAAGCGCGTGGCGCCGTGCGCTTCAGTGAGTGACGCCTGTCTCGCGGAGGTCGCTGTCCAGGTGCTGAAGTTACTACACGCAGCTCGCGCTCGTCCATATAAACACAGAACCCCTCTCTCCTCCGAGTTGGTACATTCCACGAAACAGTGGAGCAGCCCTCGCGGGACAGGGGCCATTGCTTTGAGCGCCTTCTCATGGGCAGCAGAGAATAGATTACATTTGAATGAGAGTCGCTTTTATGTTTATAACTAAGGCTGTTTCTGGAGGACTGCTGATAATGGGCAAGATCTTGGCCGTAGAGTTCACTCAAATTACAAGGGCGGTCATACGATAAGTAATTATAATGAAATGCTACTGCAGAACTATACATACAGCTAAAGTACAAACGGGTCCGCTAGAGGGCCAGTGGAATATTTACAGCGTGAGAAAAATAATTTATTTTTAGGGCTGCCAAAGTTAAGATGTCAACTTGAGATACTGAATATGTAATTTTTTAAAACAAATCCCAATCTTGTTTCATTCGTTTTTAAGAGGGTTGGGAATCCATGATTATTTTATTCTTTTTTTTTTTAGATTCTTTAAAAACCAAATCTGCATATTTTTACAAGAAAATATTTGTATTTCTAAGTGTTCATATCTCGATCCTCCTCTGTGGCTCTGAAACAGTATTTATTGAAAAATGTTCTTTATGTTACAAATCAATTCAAGTCATTTGTCACCTTTTGTTAACACTTGTCTATGTGCTGGAGTTTATAAATCCTTTTGCAGGGCAATTTAACATTTAATATATATATATATATATATATATATATATATATATATATATATATATATATATATATAATATATATATTAATATTAGAGGATTTTTTTATCATACTTATCTAAAGGAAAAGTATGTGAGGGTTTTACTTGAATTAAAATGGAAAACAAAATTGAAAACATTTTATCTCTAATACATTTTTTTAAATTTATCATCAAGTCGGTAATGGAAGGACGTTCATCTAAAAAAAATTGAACACATTTTAGGAATGTTTTATTTTTTCTTTCTTTTAATTCCACTCAAGACTCAATTCCATTTGTCAACTAAACAATTCCATGATATTCACAGAAAGTATTTTCTTTGTAGACAGAAAGACTTCAATTGCTTTCAAGTCTCAAGTAATTTTTTGTGACTTAAGTGCAATAGTCCACATCTCTGGTTTTGTTTTATCCTTATATTGTGAAAGTTGATTCAGTCATGTTAACTAATAATTTAAACATGAATTAAAAAAAAAATTTTTGATGCTATCACATGAAACACACTTTTAAGGTTACCTGAACACTTTTTACAGTACAACTATCATGGTAATAATTTGGCACTTTGCAGTACCTTTCTGTCTTTTTTTTTTTCTTTTTTTTACATGCAGCGTGTATAAAGTGGATTCAGCCTTCTGAGAATGTTCCTCCATCACTGGCTTTTTTCTTCCTATCTGGAACAAAAGTGGCCTGCAATCCTCACCTGTGTATGCTTGGATTTTTTGTGTGATATTTACCCACCTGTTTGGAAAAAAAGCAAACTCTCAGCAGAGTGTGAAAGAAACACCATCTGTGCAAAGGCAGAGACAGACAGCAGATACTTTCACTTTTTTTCCAAGTTCTCGTCTATCAAAAGCATTGCTTCTGAAAATGCAACACGTCTCATCCTGTGATTTTTCCCCTCTATGGCTGAGCAGGTGTTTTGCGTAATAACTTCTGGATGGAGATAAACATTTGCTTTGCACCGCATCAACAAGCACAGTGGGTAAAAGAAAAACAAACTTAAAGGAACAATTCACCCAAAAATGAGAATACTGTCATTGTTTACTCACCTGTCGTTCCAAACCCATAGCTTTCTTTCTCATGTGAAACACAAAAGGAGATGTTTAGGAGAATGTCTGAGCTGCTCTCTTCCATACAATGACAGCGGATAAGGACCAATGGCTTTCAAGCTCTAAAAAGGACAATAAAGCACAATAAAGCATTGTAATGACCATGTCAGACCATGATTAATTTGCATTAAAAACAAAATGAACCCATCTTGAAAGTATATTATATAAGAGGTGTGTTAATGGAAATCAATATTGCATCTGTTGGGTAAGACTTGGAAACTCACATCAAACAGCATGACAAAACATCCCAGTTAATGTTAAATCAAGGAATACAATATGAGCTCTTTGAAACATAAGACTCATTCCATATTGATAGTAATATTATTACGAAATAATGTTCTAATGCTTAAACATTGTCTAATAAAAACCATTTTAAAATTAGCACAAATATAAGTAATAGTCTTGATTCCTTTTGATCCTCATTTATAACTCTTTCTTGTATTCCACTAGACAAATTAACAAAATCTATCATCCTTACATTCTAATAATAAAATTCTAGAATTATTTCTCTTGTATTCATAATGGATTTCTCCATCTTTAGAGGTCAACAGTTCATTATATTGAAATGAGAGGCCTCTCATGTAAATCAGTGAAACTGAGAATGAAATCAGATTTGGAGGGTGGAAACGCTAATGTCATGGAATTATACATCCTGAAAAGACTGACTCTTTGTGACCTATGAGCTGTGCAGATGTCTCCAAAAAAAATGGAACTACCTGAATTGCTGTGGTGAGCATATTCATTTAGCAATTTGAAATAATAATTGGTTCCTGAAAAATTGCATAGAAATAATTAACCAAGGAGTCCAGGGGAAAGAACACCTAACAAAAAATGTTAGATGATAGGCATCCGAATATCTCATCTCAGAGCTCAATAGTCTCTTAATGAATGAGTTGCGTATTCCAGACTGTAAGAACAGCAGAACGGACTTTACATTATAAAATCAACTTTGAGCTCTGGTGGACACATACAGAGGTATTGCTTACAGTATTTGATTGAAAAATACAGTAAGTGCGAAGATGGTAAAAGAGACTTGTAAGCCTTGATGTTGAACATCAAGGGCTAAACCCATGGAAAATAGACTGTGGGTTAAGTTATCTCATGCCAAATGTAACAGTTCAGTCAGGACCACTTCGCCAAGTATATACATTTATTACAATTCAGCATACAGTTAGTGTTGGCGGTATGGTTCTGAACTCCAAAATTCAGATTTTTTTACCGTTTATTATCGTTTTGCGGTATGGCAAAACTCCCACGCCTGTCCATGCAGCTATGCCTGGACAGAGCGGGGAGAGCAGCAAGTCAAACCCCCCTGGGATACAGAACAGAACCAGTATGCATACATAATTACAATTCTCAATTACATGAGTTGTGAAAATACAAATACATGATAGAAAAAGCTTGCAATGAATTGAACTGTACGGGAAAAACAAAATAGTCAGAATGATTAAAGGTTCGGTTGGGTGGAGTTGGGGTCGGAGGAGGGAGTTTAAATGCGAGCAGCGATGCCATGGAGGAACTTGGGGGGGGTAATAATCTAGCGGGGGTCAGAATTCGGCACAACACTGTTTTTTTTGGTGCTATAGCTCAACCACAGCCAGTATATCTATCATGCCCCTGACATTGTTCTATGTTCCAGTGAGCTTCAGACAACAATGAACATACGTTTTTCTTTCAGACTTCAAAAGGTTTGAATGACACTGGGATCTTGTGAGGTTATGGACATTCCTCTTTGATATCAGGTCTGCTGTTCATCTAGTCTCAGAAACATGGAAAGGCCAACAGGGCTGACATGAAAGATCTTCTGTTTCAAGTCTTGACTCCTTAAACATTTTTTTTCTCCTTCAGAGACTTTAGTAGTCAAGTCAAACTAAAACTTTCTGAGAGTTATCTCTGAAGTGCATGTATTTTCCACACCTGAAAAACTTTCATTTTTTTTAAATTTTTTTTGCTAGATGACGGTTGCACTTCAGGGCAAAAAAAAACAACAAAAAAACAAAGACTATCCTTTAAATCCTCAATAACCTCAATGAGCTGTTGTTGTTCCAGATAATCACAGCTGTATTTTACTTTACAATTTGTTTTAACTTTTCTTTAACTTATTTTTATCACTCCAGTCATTTTATCATTGTCACAGCGTGGTGCAGGCAGAAGAAGACGAAAAGGCAAGAGCTCCAATGCAATTGCTTTTACTTACAAAGAAACTTCAGGCAGGTACAGACAGGCAGGATAACACACGCTAAACTAGCCTGGATGCCAGCCCGAACCCGCCCACAACATTTTTTGGTCGGGAAGTTCGGTCTGGACTCGATCCATTGAGGAGTAATTATGATCGGTTCAGAATTAGTCGGGCCAATCAAATTGCCAGGGCGGGCTTTATATGATGATGGACAGATGATCTGGAGTTAGGTAATCATCACGTTATCAAAGAGCGCTTGGGTTGAACTGGTTTCCCTCAAAGGTGACTGCAGCTGGAGAATTGAGAAGTATAGATTCCGCTATTTCTGTTGTAAAAGAAATCGACAATGCATTAATTTTAAAAGACGAACAGAACTGCAATCAAGGCATTTGTCGATCGGAAAGATGTGTTTGCCGTCCTTTATACGGGATTCGGCAAAAGTTTAATTTATCAGCTGGCTCCGATGGTCACTAAGAAGATGGGACGCAATGAAAACCCTGCGGTCGTTGTGGTTTCTCCTTTGGTCGCACTCATGGAGGACCAAGTAAGAGAAGCAACACTCATTATTGTACTACTTCTTTCAGCGTGTGCGTAGTTGAGTTCTGTTGACAATTTGCGTAGCTCATAAAAAAACACTTACTGAGTGCATTGCTCTGATTGGTTGTAGGTCTATCCAATTGAGAGTTTGTTTTTTTCCTGGTTCGGTTAAGACACGCCTCATAATCAAAGCCCTATGGAGCAGTATCAGACTCACATTCTGACTAGAATATGAGTATGACAAAGTCAGGCTAACGCTAAACACGACTAACTACAGACAAAGGACTTCTTCTTCTTCTTTTCGTTTTATGGCCGTTCACTCCTTTGGAGTATTACCGCCACCTACTGTTTACCTTGCGCACTTGAGTAATGGATCTGATTAGAAAAAAAAAAAGAAAAAAAAAAACTTTACCATTCCAGAGTATCAGAGCCCGAGCTTCAGCTGACGCTGCGTGTTCAGCTCCTCCAGCTTCCACACGAGCTCCTCAACCTCCAGGATGAT